ATATATATATAAGTAATTACAAGAAGGTTATGACAAAAAAAATTACAAGAACAATTGTCTCTAGAACCGATGCACCCATATGACAAATAAAAATATTTTCGGAAAATTTAGTGAGAAAAGAAAATATAAATATAATCGGTGATATATGATAAGAAAACATAAATAAAAGCAGACTAATAGCATATTTTTCATACTAGTCCTGGTCAATATAGTTAATGAGTTTCTTCCAGGACCTGTGCTCGGTTGAGATAAAAATTCTTTTGGATCTTTGTATTTGGCTGATAATAAAAATTATAATACATGAAAAAATTTAAATATATTTTAATTTTTCAAATTTAAAAAATTTATTTTTACTTTCTAAAATTTAAATTTGATCTTTTAAATTCTTATAATTTTAAAAAATCTTGTTTCAATTTTTAAACTTAAATTTTATTAAATAATCTGTCAAATATTATCTTATAAAATTTACTTATTAATATTTTATTAGTAAAAATATTATATTAAATTTAAATTTTTTTTAGATAATTTATTAAATATTTTTACCTAAAATTTATCTATCAATATTTTTACTAGTGAAAACATTGTATTAAATTTTACTAATATTGCATAACTGTCTTAATTTAACACTTTCAAATATGTTATTAAATGACTTGAGAAATTAAAAAAATTAAAATTAAAAAAATTAAAAATAACGACTTTAAACTAAAAGATAAAAATAAACTTACCCTAAATATAAAATACTATAAACATATTTAATCCATAGAAAAATATGCCATAATTTTCAAATCGAATACAATGAGAAAAAAAAATTAATGAGTAGGCCCAATACAAAAAAAAAATAAAAATACAACATACATCATAGTTATACAATAATTGCAAAATCTCCTGAAACTAAACGCAGTTTTAGGCTTTTAGCAACAGTGAATTACCCGACAAATGTAGACACAAGATGACAAATACACGTAATCGAAACTTCCACAAACAAAAAGACAAACAAATAAGTTGATATAATCGGATTCCTTGATATCCCATGCATGCTGGATTTGGTTGCCAAAAACTCAATTCACTCTGCTGCACACTTTTCTGATCTGACCCTGTGCGCCGGTAAGAGGGCTAAGGTTACTCATCTTGAGCATGGCCTTAGCAAAATCTGATCTGAAGAGTAATGGGTTGGTGGCATAGTCTTCAACCTTGGAGTCCGTGGAACCGCCACTATAGAGTTGTTGATCAGAGTGGAAAAGACCCTTTTCGGAAATCAAGTTCCTGAAGTAAGCACTGTCGAAAACGTCTTGAGAGGTGATGTCCAAAGGAGACAAGGAGTCATCACCACCTATCTTGGGACAATTCTCTCTCATTCGGTTTGCATATGTGGAATCTATGTTGCTTTCGTTGTAAATCCTTGATCGGAAGGTTACACACCTGCCCCTGCCTATTGTGTGCCCACCTGATGAACAACAAATTTAACGACTTGAGTATATAAGATTGTCTACGAGAATGAGATGCCAAATCAATATTTGTAACCTGTACTAACATTTCAATAAATACTCGCAATACTTTTTTGTTGTTATATATGTAATTTTAAATTGTTATATAATTGTAAGATTGATTTTTTTGGGTTACCATAATAATATTAGTGTGAAATGTCCGTCAATTTTTTCGATGTTTACCTTTTATCAAGAAATTTTGCTAACAATTTTTACATAGTCATGTTTTTTCATAATACTTAAATTTACTCATGACAACAATTTGTTGTGTTGTACACCAAAAATTTATATATCTTTTTCTCTTGTTCAAATGATGAGAAGTTTTGCTTATATTCTAAAGTGTTGGTCTATAAATTATATTTAAAATAATTTCTATTTTGATTCTTAATTTATTGAAATGCATGTTTTCAGCCCCTTTTTAATAATGTTAAAAAAAATGCTTTTAATAGGTTTTCTCTGTGTGTGGCATAATCATGTCATTTACCAATAATATGTTTATCAAACCATCAACATAATAATACAAAATTAATGATGGAAATCAAATTATAAAATATAAACATTAAAATAAAAGTTAACTAATGGAATGAAAAAAATATATTTAATTAGCCTTTTATTTTATAACAGAACCCTAATTCATTGCGAATGGTACCAAGTAAAACTTGACAATTAAGTTGCATGCAACGGTATCTAGCTACCTGATAAAGCAACCATTTCATCTACTGTGAAAGTCTTCTTTTGGAAAGCAGCAATAAGGGCATTGAGATCCAGAAATGGAGCTGGTAAATCTGAGTTAGCTCCACTTAAACTTGCAGTGGTTGAGTCCCTTCTGCCCAAGCCAACTTGCCAACCAAGTCCACCAAGCTGGGATTATATTTCTCACTAATCAGTTTCGATGTTTCATACTATCTCACAGTCACATGCATTTAACTTATAGGAATGTCTCACTTTTACTGTCGAAGTTATTAAATCTCAAACAAACAAATACTTACAGCAACGACAGAATCCCTTGCAGCAACGGCTAGGATGTCAGCGCAAGAGACAACACCAGGGCACAAAAACTCTAGTTTTGTTTTTATGTCCTCTATGACTTGGAAACCCCTTAGAGAATTACGGTTGGGGAATGCATTTTGTTCGCCCACGAAAGTTGCCGTGTCGTTCAATAAAACCGATGCATCGCATCCCTTCAAAATGGAAGCAAGCATAAGATTATGTTTTAATCAGTCATTTTAATTTTTTCACTTTCATGCTAACTATCTATTAATATACTACACAATTAATTTATGATAGTTTATTTATCAGATGAAAATTTCGATTAATTACATATATTTTTTGTCTCCAACTATGATGCACGAACATTAATGAATATATTATAGACACGGTGGTGGATATTCTGTTCTTACAAATTAGACACTTATGTACATGCAGACACGACCACAACCCAACACTCCGATCCGATGCATGTAGTCCAACTCTCTGATGTGTGCGACCCAATTTTCCGATGTATAAATTCGAGATTTTTTTAAAAATAAAAAATAAGAAAGGGATCATTCAAAATTAAAAAGAAAAAAAAAATCTTGATAAAAACATAAATAAGTTGTGGTTTTTAATGATGATACTCAACAATGAAAATTTTTCATAATATTTTTTAAAAACTTTTTATTATAATAGTTTTTGTAAGATTTTTTTTGTGAACTATAATACTTTTTAATAATTTATTTTTTAGATTTAATAAGTTATTATTATTATTATTATTATTATTATTATTGTTATTATATATATGCCATGTTGACATATTTTATGCTTTTTAATTTTGTCATCCGTGGCCGTGTCTTGTTGAATCCGTGGTCTACAATGATCTTTTGGAACAATTAAAATTGTGAATTATTTTAATTAAAAATGGCATGTGCTTCCGTCAAAAGTCATCAAATTATTAATTATTAGAATGACATGGCTAACATATGACATGGTGTTAGAGCACGTTTTAGAATTGACATTTTAATAGCTGTTAGAGGAGCTCCAATATCGGTGGAATCCGACAATTTTCTCTCAATATCACCTCAACACAGGTAGCATAAAGCATAATAATAATAATAAATAAATAAAAAGCTATCTTTTTATCTAAGTAAGAAATATACAAGCAACTATATAAAGAAATCAAGATAAGATATCGGTGACATAAATGTTAAAATCTAATAATTAACTTTGTCCTTAAAAAACTAATAAATTAATTACTAAGTTAATTTTTTAAGTATAAATTGATAAAATAATATATTCAAATGAAAGAAAATAACATTTAAATAGATTTAATATAGTGTTTGGATAGAAGATTTTAATTGAGTAATTCAAATTTTTTTTTTGAGACTTTCACATAATTTGAGATGAAATACTTTATTTAGATGGTTTACAAAAAATTCAAAATTTAAGTATTTGTAAAATTCTTTAAATTTGTAAAATTTTAAATTGTTCAAAAAAAGGTAAGGATTTGAATTTTTTTATTTCTCTTGTTTATTGTATCTTTCAATCCTCTCTTTCAAAGTCAATATAAAAAATAATAATAATTTTTTTAATTATTGAATATTTAAAATTATTTTATAAAATAATATTTAATATTAATTTTTAAAATTATTAACATTTAAAATTAGCTAATATTTAAATTTTTTAAATTTAATCTTAAAATTTCAATATATATATACATATAATTTAAAAAATGATAAAAAAAATTAAAATTAAAATAATTCAAATTTTAAAACTATCAAATCTGTTAAATTCCTAATATTCATCATCCAATCACATCCTTAAGTCATCTTGAGTCAATGAAAATTACTACTCGATAAGTATAATGTCAAAGTGTAAGTTGTAAGTCACATAATTGGACGACAAAATGATAAGGAAAGCTATTTTTTAAAATTAAAAGGTTGAGAAACTTTCTTTTTGTAAGACAAATCATATTTTATTTTATTATATGTGTGGCATTACTCTAACTGCAATGAGATAAAATAAAGTTATACTCTTATATTTTTTTTTCCATTAATTATCGTGTTGATTGCTATTATATGGTGGGGATCGTCAAATCGTCAGTGAAACATATATTTCACTTGTCAAACAACATTGCAACGCTTGCATGCAGAAAATGTACAATGCAGGCATACAACTATTTCAAAGCTAATATATATATAAAGATTAATTAAAGACTTACTTGGACAAAGCAATCATGGAAATGAAGACGGAGCAAGGATGCACCCATGCGAGGCTCTTTCAACACAGCAGCGGTTACTAGTGTCTTAATGGTAAGAAGGGCCAAGGGACACCGTAAATTATAAAAACTAGTGCTCAACTGATATTCAGCTGAAGTAACAGCATCTGTTGCTGAAGAAGTTAAATCTGAAGCTGAAACTATCCCAACAAGACATAAGAACAAACCGATTTTGAGTTTGAAGTCAGGAAAAATCACCCTTTGGTGAGAAACTCCAGCCATGTTTTTAGGAATTCTCAAGGTATGACAGGGGACTAAGGGTTTGTGATTTGTGCTTGGTTAAGGGCATGATGAAATGTGTCATCTATTTATGCATTGTGCTTACTTTTTGTCTAAGTAGAATGTATGTTGTGGACATCCATTATATCTGATTTTTTGAGATTAAATTTTGGTTCATGCTATGGCATTAGCTGTATTGTGCTAAACAAGTTGACTTCTTGATGCTTTGCAGATTTTATGGCGGATTTAATTGCAGGCCACTGCGTGCGAACACGCGGAGTCAAAATAATTTGATAACTTCTGCAGAAAAATTAAGAAACGACAATTATTTACCCCTTTTCATATGGAATAATATTCTTTATTTTTCTGACTTCAAATCCACTTACATTAGATTCTTTTCACGTTATTAGGAGAAACTGCAAAGAAAAATTATGTATGTTGCATTGGTACCAACCATTTCGATTATTGTGTCACAAATTATTTTTGACAATTTTAATTCTTTATGAAAATCATGTGAATTATATGATAATTAATAATTAATAAAGAAAAAAAAATTGTATTTGAAATTTTATTCTTGAAATTGCCAAGTAGCTGTATGCTATCCCCACTAACATGAATATGTTCAAAGAAGAACTTCACTAAATCATGTAGTGCTTTCTTTTCGGCTAATATTTATCGTCAGGATATATAAAGCCAAATCTTTATTTTGGTATATACATTATTTTTTTTGTGACAATTTTAATCCTTTATAAAAATCATGTGAATTGCATAATAATAATTAATAAAGGAAAAAAAATTGTATTAAAGTTTTACCTTTGAAACTGGCAGTAACTATGTACTATCCCTAAAGAAAAACATCGCAGAGTCACGTAATGCTTTATTGTTTTTTGCTAACATTTACAGTCAGGATATGTTGACACATCAGATCTAAGTTTAAAAATTTGGACTAAATCTTATACATTCAACAAATTTTTTTATAATACAAATTTAGTTAATACAATTATTAAATTATATAATATTATACTCAAAATCGTGTATATCAAATTTTATATAATTTTAAAATAATAATTTATCTCATAATTTATTTTAACGTATAATATAATATTTAAAATATGTGTAAATATTTATTTTTAGATAACATATTTAAAAAAATTCAAAATAATGTAAAATTTGTTGTTATGATATCGAATATAATATTATATAATTTAATATTTGAATTGATTAAATTTGTATTATATAAAATCTTATTAAAAGATAAGATGTGATGTAAATTTTTATACTTATACTTGATATCAATGAAATTTGACTTTTAGGAGAATAGAGAGATGGGTTCAAATGGTGGCATATGTATTTAGATTTAGCGTCAATCAAACCGACACCAAATTCATGCAAGATGGATTAGTTACATATATTAGTGTAGGTTGGCCCACACTAATGCATAATTACTGTAGTCGACTGTTTTGAATTAACTAGCTTCTAATTGTTTGGTTGATATTAAGTTTTTTTTTTTTGTCAGCAAAAAAAGTTGTATTAATAAAATAGATACATATAGGATGTATCTAGATCCATGTACAACCCCTCCCTGAAAGTATAAACTAATTGCAGATTCTACAAGTGGGTATTTTCATGTCTATATAAATATAAGTTAATAACCACTTGATTACAAGACTTCTAATCTTCCAATTCCTTCTAAGTCCCTTCTAATAATAGATAAAAATAAAACTGTCGGAATACATATAGTCCCAACAAAATTGACTGCCCTTCCTGATTGCCAATAATTGGTTGCATGCAGTGCGGATAAAAAAGTTGAATTCCAACATCTGCAAGAATTGTTGAGTTGCCCCAATTTCTTGCTACCATGGGAAACTTAATTGATACACCAAAATCCCATGTTTGATGCAGTCTTCTCCCTTTAAAAGTTGTGCCTTTAAACAATTTTAGTCATTGTTGTAATATACATGCTTGCATATAACCATACGTCCATACCACTGAGCGTATAAAAATCTGATCTCTTTATCCATTCAAAACATCCACATATCCAACTCATAAGGCTTATGTCCTGTAAGATTAAGCATAGATCAACATTCACATTTCTAAAGATATATATGGTTTTTTCTTGCTTTCCAAACACGCCAAACAGAGGCACACCAAACGGGATAAAACATTCACATGCCTTGGTATTCAAGTTCTTCAGGGAAAACAAATTAAACATGTTGTGCAAGATGAATTTTTGGATGCTCCGGTAACACTGTAGACAAGTTAATCCAACTATACCATTTATCCCATATAGGACGTATCTTGTCACATGTGAAGAAGAGATGTTCGTCAGTTTCCTCTCAACAATCACAAAATACACAATTATAATTATCCTCCGCCAAGCTAACATTCCTTCTTCTAAGGTTTGTTTTTGTTAACAACCCTCTCATAAGTGTTAAACTTTTAACAAACGTAATAATTTTTACAAATAGTAAAATGGATAAATGTCTAAGTATCAAATTCACAAGGATTTGCATTGACTAATCTAATTTAATGTTAATTAGGAAGATATAAAAATATATCTTTTATTTGAAGAATGCACCAAATATAAAAAAAATAAAATAAAAGAAGAAAACATTTTTTAGGGATAAAAGATTGAAAAAATAATTAAAAATTTATAATAAATATATATCATGGATTGATTTCACTATCATTCTTTACACGTATCTTTCCTAATTATTATTTAATTTTAGTAATTTATCAAGTTAATTCAACACTCAACGAAAATATTTTAACTTTGATTTATTAGGTGAGAAATTCTAAATTGTTTTAAAAAAAAAACTGTCAATTCCTTGGTGAAATTTGTTAAAGCATTTATAATGGGAATTGCTTCTAAAACAATTTCCTTTCACTTTTAATGGATCTCACTATGTCACATTACTCATAAGCAATGAGGTTGCTTTAAAGCACCCACAGTACTTTTTTTTATCCCTTATTTTTTTTTTGGTTCAGGCATGGAGGGGAGCGATTTCTCCAACCAATCACAACACTCCATGTGTAAGACTTAGACCCAAGCTTTGTTGCTTTAGTAAAGGTCAGAGCTAAAATATTTTCAACTTTTTATGCCACATAAGTCAACTTCAATGGACATTTCTTATTAGATACAATGCTCAGATACAAGGGATAGGTTAAGAAACCTCCATTAGAGATGCTCTTAAGCAACCTATATTAAGATCGAAAGTTTAAAATGTCGATTAATTAGACTTATCCTATTCCTAGTGATAAGTGTTATTCTCCAAATCCTAATTTTAAAAGGTTCCCTAATTTCAATTAAATCTATGAGATCGTGCATTGGGTGATCAAGTCAAAACAATAATTAAGAATATAAGAAAATAATTAATTGAATAAAAACATTTATTGAATAAGAACATGAAGAATTACATATAATAGTGTTAGTTATGTCAATCTCCAATAACGACTCCCTTTATTTTCTCATACCTATCTAAAATATAAAATATTTGGAGTGTTTTTCTATTCTTTGCAAAGTGTATTTTTATAAAATTTTAATGAATTTTCTCCAATTAGACATGTTATTTCCACTCACTCAAAGTGACCAATTGACTTGTTAAAGCAAGTTTGATGACATGTCTACATTGGCATTGATGTATTAGCTCGTTTAGAGTACTCACATATATAGCTCACTTTGAACGAGCATAAAGTCGCTTTGAGCATGCTTCCCTCTCACCTTGTGTGAGTGTTTCCAATGTTTAACTTCTTTGACATTTGCTCCTTAATTACATGTATCTTAAAACTAACAACAAACTATAAAAAAAAAATACCTAAAATAAATCTACTAATTAACAAGATAAAATTAAAATAATATTTTTCTTTTTTACAAAAACAAAACTTTAAAGCATAATATATATTAAATAATTGTATAAATTGGATAAAAGATATTAATAAACAACCTTCAGATAAAGTGAGGAACTTTTGGAGGTAAGTTTAAATTATATAGTAAACACAAAATATGATGGAAGTAGGTAGGTGAGGTGAAGCTTGTTCTTCCCTTGCCTCCTCCAAACTCACAGATCTTGCTTCCTTGATTGATGATCACAGATTGAAGGTGGGATTAAGAAGAGAATGACATGGTTTCCCTAGGCTAAGAAGGAAGTATCCTAGCTAGAGAATCAAAGAGAAAGCTCACGGACTAAGCTTAGGAGAGGTGATTTTCCTAAGGCTAAGACTAGGCTTTCTTGGTGACTTTGAGAGAGAACTTGGCTGAAGATATTTCAGAAAATTCTCATTAACATTCAAAGTGTTTACAAGTTATGAAGGATCATGCATATATAGGCTCGGCTAGGGAAGCATTTGGCGCCAAGATTCAAACACCACATGTGGCGCCAAGATTTGAATTCAAATTTGAAATTTGAATTCAAATCTTCACTCCCATGTGCAAGTCCGTGGATCTAGGTGCCCTCATGCATCTTAATTTGATTTAGGAAGCATTTAGGGTTGATTTGGCTAAGCACATGGTCAGCAACAAGTGGCACCATCCATGTGATCCCAAATTCAACTTAAATGCCTTCTAAATTAAATCTAGTTTAGCCTAATGAACCTATTTAAGTAATCCCTCAATAATCCTAATCTAATGGCCTAAATACAATGGACAAGCAAATACAATGGAAAGTAAAAATTACAAGAATGAAAATGAGCCCAATATTGGGTACCAAAAGCCCAAAGGCCCATGAAGCCCAAAACTAGGCCCAATAAGCCTATAGCCTATAATGCTATCCTAGATGGTCCAAAATACAAGACCCAAAATACAGAAACCTATACTAACATGATATATACAAGACATAAGAAAAATAGCTAAAACAAGATATGACCCATTAAAAGTTCAACTTGGGCTTTCCAAGCCCATTAGGCCCATTGGGCCTTGACTGGCCCAAACCTTCATGTCTAGCCCATTCCTCTTGGCTCTTTCAATGTGTCACTCCTTGCCTTCCTAGGCATGATTCCATCAAAATATCATCCTTATGTGCTATAATTCTTTTCTTCCTCAAGGAGCTATGGGCTGTTTTGACCAAGAATTGTTTATAATCCTTGCGT